CCGACTATGACGCCGCAGTTTCATATGGAGAGTTGTGTCCCTTATACGTTCCAGAAACCTAAGATCGTGGGTTCGAATCCCATATTAGCGATATGGTGTGTGCATCATTCCATACCCATGCTCGTAGGTTTCAGTGAAGAGGTAAACACCCAAGACCTGCAATATTTCGGACCTTCCATCCACATCAAACTGGCAGACCATGATGTTACTGAATTTTTGTTAAAAGCGTAGTGAAACCCAACTCACTGCCAGAGAATAACCAGTCTCAACTATCCGCTGAAACAGGTTCCATTGGGTGCAGAAAGCAACATAACCGTGAACATGATAGGAATGGGTCACGTGATGACACCAGGTGTTCGCGAGACAGATGCACTAATCCTTTTTAGATATATCGAAACTCAGCCTTCAAGGCGTCAGTTCCTATTCAAAGGCATTGTCCATGGAAATTAGAGCACTCGGACACTTAGTGTCCATTCGTTGAATTAAACGGCACGTGTCAATGACTATTTACCGGTATTTTTCACTCACTAACTCAATATCTGGTTGGTAATGTATTCTCTTTTATCTTCCTTTGCACATGATCGTATTCTCTTCGTGTTGGTGTACATTTTGGTATGACACATAGACCATTGGGTAATGGGCGGTAGGGTAGACTGTGCTTAACGTTTTGTCTCGTCACGCTAATTAAGGATTGACTGTGTATTGTTTTCGGTTCATTGGGGTGTGAATCGAAAAACCGGTGTGCAATCTCTATAAATCCGCGTGGCGGATTCATACAAAGTTTTGCGCATCGGTTGTTGGATTCATACCTCAGTGAACCGTAAAAAATACAGAGCCAAAGCTTATAATCAACTTCGACAACGAAAACATGTTTTATCTACATTGGTTTAATAAAAAAAACAGTTGTATATATCAAAGCAGGCAAAAATAACGAGATTGATAAACATTCCAGGTGTAGGAATACATACTGTAGCGTGACATGAATCAGGTGATTGTTTAATTTATGCTCTTAACGTGACACGCCTACAAAGTCAGTAGCCAATCAACGGAGAGTAAGATCAAAACAATGTTCAAAGGACCTGTCAATCAAGACAAGAGGCGAGAAACAGTGTAACAGTCAGACTGTCACTATCCGGAACAAATATGTCTGGGAGAAGGCGGCTGTTTCAAATGACATTGTCAGTAACCGCCAGATTCAAACATTACTTCGCTGAGAACGGAAAGACACAGTTGGAAACATACCAGTTAGAAATGAAACCCGAAGACATGAAAGTTGTGAAACCGAGGCGAGCGGTAAAAAAACCCGGCCAGCGTTGCCTTTTCATTCCTTCTCGGCCTTCAGTTTTAAAGGGTTGTTTGTTTAGCTAAATGTCATGTGTTTGACGATACACGTTAGCAGAAAGGTAATTCCCTCGACTGTAATATTGGGATTCCCCGACATTCCGTAGTAATAAAAGTAGTCCGCTTCGGTGGGCGTGGCTTATCTTTTTACATTCATTGGGAAATGAATGCAATAACACATGACCCATTCAGCTAATCACAATGTAGGAATTTCAGTGAACACAAGGAAAATTTAATTATTCGATAGTACAAAAAGTTTTGTCAACTTAAACAGGATTATTGTTCTACAATAGGAGTCTTTTACTTATTAGGAATTTACTACATTTGACAAACAATTCTTTTCACGTGTTTAAAGGTCAATACTGCATATTGACCAAAGGTATTGATGCTTGTTATGGAATTTCGCTTGTGAAATATGTATAGAATCTCCGTCATGAAGTGTTATTTCAATTGAGATATCAATGTTAGAATTTAGTGCACCAGTACAGTATTTCATCATTACAAATACATAATTATTTGGGATTTCTTTGTTTACAATTTATCGATTACAATTCACATGCATCAAATGATGACGCATATAGTAGTGCTCTGTCAGTGTTCAACGTGTCCACAGTAAGATACCTGTGTTGTTATAGTTGAGAAGATTTCACTTACCCTCCTGTATATCCACAAAAAGAATAATGAATGAGTTAAAATAAAACTTTTGTTAATTGTTTATATTGTTATATGTCATGTTATATGTTAGTAGTGCTCTGTCAGTGTTCAACGTGTCCACAGTAAGATACCTGTGATGTTATAGTTGAGAAGATTTCACTTACCTTCCAGGGCCCTGTTCCACAAAGCGATCTTAGCGCTAAGTTAGTCGTAACTCCCGTACTTTAACATAGGCTTACGATCGACGCATCACTAAGATCGCTTTGTACACAGGGCCCTGTCTATCCACAAAATTGATAATGAATGTACCAATAGATATGTATGTGTTAAAATAAAACTTTTATTAATTGTTTATATTGTTATATGTTATATCATATTTTAGAAGTGCTCTGCCTATGTTCAACGTGTCCACAGTAAGATACCTGTGTTGTTATAGTTGACCCTCCTGTCTATCCACAAAATTGATAATGAATGTACCAATAGATATGTGTGAGTTAAAATAAAACTTTTGTTAATTGTTTATATTGTTATATGTCATGTTAAATGTTAGTAGTGCTCTGTCAGTGTTCAACGTGTCCACAGTAAGATACCTGTGATGTTATAGTTGAGAAGATTTCACTTACCTTCCAGGGCCCTGTTCCACAAAGCGATCTTAGCGCTAAGTTGGTCGTAACTCCCGTACTTTAACATAGGCTTACGATCGACGCATCACTAAGATCGCTTTGTACACAGGGCCCTGTCTATCCACAAAATTGATAATGAATGTACCAATAGATATGTATGTGTTAAAATAAAACTTTTATTAATTGTTTATATTGTTATATGTCATGTTATATGCTAGTAGTGCTCTGCCTATGTTCAACGTGTCCACAGTAAGATACCTGTGTTGTTATAGTTGAGAAGATTTCACTTACCCTCCTGTATATCCACAAAATTGATAATGAATGTACCAATAGATATGTGTGAGTTAAAATAAAACTTTTATTAATTGTTTATATTGTTATATGTTATGTCATATTTTAGTAGTGCTCTGTCAGTGTTCAACGTGTCCACAGTAAGATACCTGTGTTGTTATAGTTGACCCTCCTGTCTATCCACAAAATTGATAATGAATGTACCAATAGATATGTGTGAGTTAAAATAAAGCTTTTGTTAATTGTTTATATTGTTATATGTCATGTTAAATGTTAGTAGTGCTCTGTCAGTGTTCAACGTGTCCACAGTAAGATACCTGTGATGTTATAGTTGAGAAGATTTCACTTACCTTCCAGGGCCCTGTTCCACAAAGCGATCTTAGCGCTAAGTTAGTCGTAACTCCCGTACTTTAACATAGGCTTACGATCGACGCACCACTAAGATCGCTTTGTACACAGGGCCCTGTCTATCCACAAAATTGATAACGAATGTACCAATAGATATGTATGTGTTAAAATAAAACTTTTATTAATTGTTTATATTGTTATATGTTATATCATATTTTAGAAGTGCTCTGCCTATGTTCAACGTGTCCACAGTAAGATACCTGTGTTGTTATAGTTGACCCTCCTGTCTATCCACAAAATTGATAATGAATGTACCAATAGATATGTGTGAGTTAAAATAAAGCTTTTGTTAATTGTTTATATTGTTATATGTCATGTTAAATGTTAGTAGTGCTCTGTCAGTGTTCAACGTGTCCACAGTAAGATACCTGTGATGTTATAGTTGAGAAGGTTTCACTTACCTTCCAGGGCCCTGTTCCACAAAGCGATCTTAGCGCTAAGTTGGTCGTAACTCCCGTACTTTAACATAGGCTTACGATCGACGCATCACTAAGATCGCTTTGTACACAGGGCCCTGTCTATCCACAAAATTGATAATGAATGTACCAATAGATATGTATGTGTTAAAATAAAACTTTTATTAATTGTTTATATTGTTATATGTCATGTTATATGCTAGTAGTGCTCTGCCTATGTTCAACGTGTCCACAGTAAGATACCTGTGTTGTTATAGTTGAGAAGATTTCACTTACCCTCCTGTATATCCACAAAATTGATAATGAATGTACCAATAGATATGTGTGAGTTAAAATAAAACTTTTATTAATTGTTTATATTGTTATATGTTATGTCATATTTTAGTAGTGCTCTGTCAGTGTTCAACGTGTCCACAGTAAGATACCTGTGTTGTTATAGTTGACCCTCCTGTCTATCCACAAAATTGATAATGAATGTGCCAATAGATATGTATGGGTTGAAATAAACATTTATAAAAATTGTATGTGTCATGTTATGTCGCACATGTCTGCCTGGAGCTTCTCATTGAGGGGGTGAAACGAAAAAAGGTCGGCTCGGGGTCTTGAGTGGGATATCCACGTTAAACTGCGGCATGGTATCTCAGTCGGCTGGCAGAGGTCCGGACAAGTTTAGGTTTGTAAGCACGTTTACCCTTGCTCGTGGGTTTCACCGAAGTGGTAAACGTCTGAGACCTGCATCACGTCGGGCTTTCCTCCCACATTAAGCTGACACGCCGTGATATAACTAGAATACTGTTAAAAGAGGCGTTAAACCCAACTCACTCACTCAAAGGCGATGACTGATATTTCAGTTACATCACATCGAGTCAGTTTCATTTAGGAGGTAAAATCCTAAGTGATGCTGGCCTTAGACGTTTAGCATGCCATTAATCATGCACATTTGGAATTTGGAACGGGTACAGTGGCTTGGATTAATTGGCCATATATGTCCTCCTAT